GTTTTCAAGCTATAATTAATATGCTTGGATTTCAGTGTACTATTGAACAATGCAAAATTCCATTACATACATCTACTGAAAGCTCATTTTGGAGTGGCAGCCTATGTTAGTTAAACTATACAGTTAGCTATTATATGTATTTGTTTGATTGCTCAGTATGTGTGTGATTGTTTTTGGTTCTTAGCGTTTTTATGTAAAGCACTGTGGGCAACCCTTGGGGTTCTTTTAGTAGTGCTATATAAATAAATAAACCAAAACAACTAATGTATTTTGTATCTGGGCGTTGATCATCCCCCCAAACTTGCGTTATTTCTCCGCCTGTCCAGGTGATGGCGCTATCATGCAGCGCGTACACACTCCTCCACTGCCGGTGAAGGAAAGTATGACAGCGTACTACAGCCTTCAAGCCAAAGTCATCCGCTCTAGCGCTGCCGTCCGCTGTCATCATGTCTGAGAAAGAGCTCGGCCAAAAGTGGGACCGCTGCCTCGCAGACTGCGCTGTTAAATTCGGTAAGAATTCATTAGATTTAATAACCAACTTTGATTGAGGGCATGTTGTCACGTCCGTGTAGGGCACTCCGGTCACTGATAAGACGCACACACGTTGGGTTTGGCTCAAAACCTAATGAACTCCCTACATAGACGCCTGTAAATGCTGTTTTGTTTTGAGAACTATGGTATTATTTTATGTGTTCTATTAAAAAGGTTAGGTGAATTAATGTTACTACTAGGACCGCCTACGACTAATCTAGGCAGGTCTTTGTATGACATACTGTGTTAAATCTATGTCTTTTGGACTGTTTTTTTCTACTATTAGAGCTGGGTAGATTACTTACAAATTGTAATCCGTTACTGCTTCCAAATTACAGGACAAAAATTGTAGTTAGTAACGTAATTTATTACATTACACATTTTAGGTAATATAATCAGAGTAACTTGTTTATCACATTGATTCAAATATGATCATCTTGTACCATATTGATATAAAAATACAAAGAGTAAGAAAATATTTTCCATTTGTTGTAATAAACAACATGCGTGCATTAACATTATATTACATCAAGGTTTCCCAAACTGGGGTTTGTGAAGCAACTGCAGGGGTTTGTGAGTTTAATGAAAAGCTAATGATTTATTAAATTATCAAAAAATGTCATTTTAAAATAACATCAATCAAAATAAAACACATAGTAATTTTTTTTTCAATATTTTATTTGTTTACCTGCATTTCATGTGATCATTAATCAACAGTCAGAGAACCTTAAACATGCGAAAAATGTGATAATTAATAATTAAAATATTTATTTTAAAATCTCAGGGGTTCTACAAGTAAATACATTAGGTGAAAGAGGTTCAGATGACCAAAAAAAAAAAAGTGTGGGAATGCATGCATTACATGTAAATAAGACATAACGTGAATTTGTGCATTTTAATGTGTTTGAAAGACAACAGCTTCCTAAATGCCATTATAGTAATACATGGTTAAACTACCTACTGAGTGATAATTCAAATAAAAATGAATGTGTTTGCATCAGTAGTTGATGCAAATGCAGTGTTGAAACACTTCTTAAAACTGAAATATTTTTTGTAAATGCAGTGGTCAAATGCTGTGTGGCCACCTGACTAATGACTGATCTCTCTGTGTGAGCGTCCACAAAACTGGAAGACTTTCTGAATGTATATAAGCAGAAGACTATTTTAGAAAAGAAAAATGAAATGATGAAAAAAAGGGAATTAGGGAAAATCAATAAATTGAGTAATTTATTGCTATTATTGGGTGAATAATATATAGCCTAATCAGGTAATCAACAAAAAAAGTAACTGTAATCTTATTATGATTATTTAAAAATGTAATTTAATCTAATTACAAATAATTTTTGGAATCTGATTACATAATCCAGATCACATGTAATCAGTTACTACCCAGCTCTGTTTACTATGTACCATGGTCGTTATCATGGTATGCTTTAAAGTACCATGCATTCACAGAGAAAAGACACAAAAGCTGTCACCGGGGAGGTACCTTTTCAAAAGCTACACTTTTGTTACTTTTAGGTACTAATATGTACCCTTTAGGTATAAAAGTTGTACCCTTTGAAAAGGTACTGCTTCAGTGACAGCTTTTTTTTTTCTTTTCTGAGAGTGTATCAAAGTAGTTGTATTAAGATACGGGCATAAGATATGGGCATGCTGGGTAATTTTGTAATATAATATTTTTCTCTAATAGGTACCGGTCTGGGTCTAGGAATTGTGTTCTCTGTTGTTTTCTTCAAGCGTAAGTATATTATATTATACCTTGTGTAAACCAGATTTATGAGAATGAGTCTTCATGCATTCTAATGTGAGAATTTGTTTGTGCAGGCCGGACGTGGCCCATTGTGTTTGGTACAGGACTGGGTCTTGGCATGGCTTATTCCAACTGCCAGAATGACTTGAGATCACGTTATGTACTGCACAGTAAAGTTGCTAAGGTTTGTGTTTTGATTATGGAGGTCACGTGTTGTCTTGATCAAATCTCACCAAGCCGTTCAAGTCTGTGTGGCCGAAATACCTGTTTGCATTTTATACATTTATTAAAACATGCATAGAATTATCCTAAATGTGAATGGATGAAAATATTTCTAGAAATGTTTTTATGAATAATTTATAAAATGTATATACAAAAATCTGTTGTCATTAAGATACTATTCAAGTTTTTGTTAATAGTTTGAATGAGCTTTTTATATTTTCTGTTTTAATCCTAAAGTTTTAATATTTTTAGTAATCGTCTTCATTTTTGTTTGAATAAATGTGTACAGCTCTGTCTGGATGATTACAATTAGTACATCTGTCGGTTATTCTGAAGTCATAAAAGCTTCATGTGTAATGGAAAAATTAAAAAAATATATATTATTAATAATACATTGTATATATTTTATGTATGTCTATATAGCTATTACATTTGAGTTCATTTAGTACTTCAGTTTTGAACAAAAATTAGAAGCCTTTGCATCAAGCTGAAATAAAATTAAAAAAAAACACTGTATTTTATTTCAGTTAATCTTTATTTTATTTGAAGTAATATTTAGTTGTTGTTTTTTTAGTTAATAATGATAATGATATGGTTTTAGTTAATAATGATAACCCTAATAAAAATGTGCTTTTGCCCAACTATATATTCAATTATATTCAGTTATTGCAATGTTTGTTAAATTGTGACATTCTTTTGCTTTTCCATATGAATATTATTTCATAGGTGATCATGTAGCCTATTCAGATCATATCAAAATATTGTAACGCATCAAGATTTTTTTGTGTGTGTGTATGTATTCTTTCACATCAGTTTGTACTTTTTCTATAAACTGATTTATTTGCGACTTTTAACATAAGATTATAAGCATGGAAACTCTGACTGAAGACATTTAAAGATCAGTTGAAGTGTTTCAAATCCTGACCTGTTTTCTCTTGTCTCTTTCAGGAGCAGTAGAGTCACATCAGTTATGTCATCTGCCTTGCTTTTCATATTCAAAGCCTGACACAGACTGGTTGTCTTTCTTTCTCCATAACATCCATGTTCTTGTACAGGACAGTCTGTGTGTGTTTAATAAAATATTTAAAAAGGAGATTAGGTTGCTAAGGATGATTTGAATGTGATTTTTTTTAATTTATAAAAAATGGCCCTACAGTAACATGCTTTCCAAAAATCATAGCCTTCTATTAGAACCCCAGTGATAGCATCCCACACTGTCATCTAGCTTTTGACCAAGGCCAAGATGATATTTGGCAACCGTGCTAAACTAGTGCACTTTGCTTAAAGCAAAACATTTGCTCAAACCTGCAGTGTGTCCAGAGCAGTGTTGGCATGGTGACAGTTCTCCAATAGTGAAGTACAAGCATACCTTTTTTTTTTCTTAATCTGGCGTGCTTATAATTGCACTATTGTAAGGTTGGTTTTTACATAAAGGTAAAAGTACATATCGAAATAAGTTCTCATGCATGACTTTGTTCAGAAGTAAGGCTTCAGGGAATTGTTGCAAGCATGTTGGCTGTAATGATTATAAAACTATCATATTTTGCTTTTGCTTTTGTTTTGTACAACAGTTTAGGAAGATCTTTTCAGCTTTTTTCATCTTGGAATAAACTTTAATTTCAAACCCCATTTTTTTCTCCGTTCTAATTTTCTTATGTTATCACTATTATAATTGCACAACAAAAAAATTAATTATGCACTTGGACATCTATGTACAATGACTCAATTTCCACATCTCAGTTTGCAAAAAACATAAATGACAGAAATGCATTTAAAAGGGAAGTCTAGTGTGCAATAGCAACTGTATTGAAAACGTTATTGTAGTCTATGTTTTGACAATCGACCTAAAAAAAAAATATTTGGTAGCGGTACCAAATATCACAGTCAAGATGAAGCACAGAAGAAAATGTGTTCACACACACACACACAAAATGTCTTGGAAAATTACATTTTAATCATTCGGTAGCAATCTTATATAATTTTTTTTTCCATATCTCACATTTACATAAGCCTTTTGTTCAATGTTAATTGCTTGCCTCAATTAACCCTGAATAATGATTGGCTGTGAATGTGCATAAAGTCGCATTAAGAGCGTGATGCTCAGACACGCTTTATGCCAAGCGGCAGAGTGTGGATCCCACAGGCACCCTGAAGTGGACGATACAGGGATTAGAAGGGCGCAGGGAACAGCAAAGACGCCAACACAGTTACCTCTAGTGCACTCGTCTGCTCCCTTTTACTCAATTACAGCCACAATTACTGAATAAAGAACACTGAGCTCATAAAAATGCATAGAAAGCAAACAGAACTCTACCTTAACGGGAAGAACTGGACCGAGATAAGTTTGTTTTTTAATTCACTCATCTAAAAAATCTATACGGTATCTTGCTCTTGTAACGCTCCTTCTCTTTCTCTCACACGCTCTCGTACCGAAGCCCACCTCTCAGTTGCCCTCCCCCAAAGAGTGTCATCATGACACGTAGCTTTGAAATACTCTTGACAGGCACAGAATTGCTCATACTGGTGCTAAGCATTGAAGAATCCAGACTGTTGACAAGGAAATGTGTCATTTTATTGCTTTGCTCATCTCACGTTAACAAATGGAGGGATGGCAGCTGGACATCCTTGCACTGGTGTGACTGAGGCACAGAGAGGGAGTGAAATCACCAACCTTGCCAGGGGAAAGATGGAAAGGATTACTATAAACGGGACATCTTGATCTTTTTCGCCACCTGAGGTGGTCTGCATCAGATTTCAGTGAGGTGACCCGCAGATCAACTGTTTCACATTCAGCATCACTCTCTCAATGCACTTGAAAAACGCTGGATGTGTGTTCGCTTCATCGAGACCACAGGAAGCGCACACAGTCCTATTCAACTCTCCGATGATGAGTGGCTCACCTATCCCTCGAGTAGAGGCAGCATCAGGTGTGGATGCCTGGAATGTTCACAGGAGCTTCAATGACAGCGGTACTATCGGTGATGGTTGGAGCATTAGTGGCAGCGGTCCCTGGCTTCTCGCAGTCATGCTGTCCATCATAATTCTGGTGACAGCTTGTGGGAACATTTTGTTGATTGCCTTGGTGTTTGCACATCGGTCGCTGCGCTGCACCTCCAATTGCTTCCTAGTGTCCCTCTTCCTGTCAGACTTGATGGTGGCTTTGGTCGTGATGCCCCCTGCTATGCTCAATGTGCTGTGTGGGACCTGGGTGCTGGCGCCTGGATTCTGCCCCGTCTGGCTTTGCTTCGACGTGATGTGCTGTAGTGCCTCCATTCTCAACTTGTGTGTCATCAGTCTGGACCGCTACCTCTTCATCATCTCTCCGCTGCGATACAAACAGCACATGACCCCGCCTCGTGCCTTGCTTCTGGTGGGTGGGGCTTGGGGGTTGGCAGCCCTCACTTCCTTTCTGCCAATCAAGATGGACTGGCACAGCCTGGGTCGCATGCAAGACCTTTCCGAGAATGATCCCGCCAACACCACAGTCTCGCAATTGAGTTTCTTCTACCCCTCTTCGTACTTCCAGCTTACCACGTCAGGGACGCCGTCCATGCAGTGCCGCCTGCGAGTGACTCTCCCCTTTGCCCTCGTTGCGACCTTTCTCACCTTCTTCTTGCCTTCTACAGCCATTTGTTTTACCTACTGCCGGATCCTGTTGGCGGCCAGAAGACAGGCACGACAGGTGGAGGCTCTTACTCATCCTCCTTACCCACCTCCTTCTCCCAGTCATGCCATCCAGGATGGAGATGACTACAGCCATCAGGAGCCACCCGTGTTGCGGCAAGCTCTGGTGAGAATTCCTGAGTCAGAGAAAACAGTGGGATAGAAATTCAATTCTTCAAGTAGCAAGTCTTAGAATAGAGTTATTAGATGCAATTTCTGGTAAATGTATTGCTTCATGTATGTGTGTAAGAGAGTGAATTCTTCTTAATACTTGCAGAGAACTCTCGACAAACTAAGCCACTTGGAGTGCATGCATTCTCAAACTGTTTTGGCCTATTGTTCATTCACGTACCCACTGCTTATGCAAGTGAATGCTGTGTGATCTCAGACACAATGCAGCATGTTGAGAATGTGTAGAGAATTCCCAGCACCTTAACAAACACAACAAGAAAGCTGAAATATGTAGCGGAAAAGGAAAACTCAATTTTAAGGACTGGAACAGAAAGTAATGAGAGACAAGATGAGGGTGTCGGAGTGCCAATAAGGCATTTGAAGATGAGGAAGGGCGAAATGGGAGGGTAGAACTATTCAGACCTTGTGAGGCACTCACTTTCAAGAGCTTTCATTTGAGAGAGGGAAAGACAAATAATTACCCAAGGCCAAAGTAACATTACTACCCATCTCTCAGCAGGTGCATCACTGTGAAATCTCTAAGAATACATTATTTTCTCTCTCTCCCCGTCTCTTTGTCTCAGTTGTCGGTGAACAGTGAGCGCAGACTCGCACACAGGCAAAGAAAGAGAGCTCTGAAAGCCAGTCTTACCCTGGGAGTGCTCCTGGGTCTCTTCTTCAGTGCCTGGCTTCCCTTTTTTATCACCAACATGGCACAGGTCAGTCCACAAAACAAAGTTAAGAAGCATCCTCATTCACGTTGACTGCTAAACTCACTCACATATTGAACCTTACCTTGACCTTAACAAGCATGTAACAAAAAAGGGGATGGGTGGTAAATTAATTGCAAAATGACAAAGTGACGAAGAGAAAGATTCCTATTTAATTGCGCAATTATTCCTTATCCTGCTCTCGAGCTTTCAAGGATCCCGTTCCCCATCTGCGTCCCTCACTTTGCTCCGATTTCGAGCTTCTGGGCAAGCCTGTCTCTAGCCCTCCTTCACACACAATATGGTGTGTGAATAGCACTCCATCTCTATCTCCTACTCTCCCCTTCTTCATCCGTGGCATCCTGACATCCTCTTCCGATGAACTAGACATCTTTGACCTTTTCCACCTCTTTGGTTTTGAGTCTCACCTACGTTATGTATTGATTTTGTGATCTAAGACCTTTTCTTCTGTACATTCAGGCGGTGTGTGAGTGTGTACCATCTTCCTTCTTCGATGCCATCACCTGGCTGGGCTACTGTAACAGCACCATGAACCCAATTATATACCCAATGTTCATGAGGGATTTCAAGAGGGCTTTGGCACGGCTTCTACCCTGCTGTTCTTCATCTCAAGCCCCTCGTAGGCCATCGCTGCCACTTTCCCTTTCTCTACGCAACTCAGGGGAGCCACAACTACCCACTGAACCCCCCTCCCTTGTGTCTGAACCGCCACAACTACCGGCGACGGCAACAGATGCTGTTAACCTTCTCGATGTGGAACACGCTGGGATTGACCTGCCTCTGCTGCTGCCCAACCAGGTCGATACATTAGACGATTGATACGCCAACTGAGACAACAAAAGAAGTGCAATATACTGTGGACAGCAAGATATGTGACTTATAACTATAGGTTTATGAAAAAAATGTTGAAACATACAATGCTAAAAAAAAAAAAAAATCAATGGGATAAGTGTTAATGGGATAGTCATGCCTAAACTGGAAGGCTGCATCGCTCCTCAAGGCAGATCATAGAGATTGTACATTTTGAACAGACTCAACAAGCATCCCAGTTCATTCATTACCATAACAACCAAAACAACAGATGGATAAAGCAGACGAGAGTGAAAGAAATCTCACTAATACTTCACACAATGTCAAGTGGGTTGTCTGTGGAGCTGTAATTCACATCTTAATTAAACAACAACCCACTTCTAATGAAGGGGGCAAATGGTGTATACAGAATACTGACAGTTTTCACATAGCAGTTTATCACAAATTATATTTAGCAGTGCTTAAAGAAAAATCTAAATTAATTAGAGATGATACCCACAAATAACTTATAGATATTATTAGACAATTCCAGAATGTCAAAAAGCCAATATTCCAGTTGGTTCTAGCTTATACTGATAACTTACACTCTGGGTGGTGTCTAGATGGTAACGCTTCTTCTGCTAAAAGTCTTGTGAGGATTCACATGTGATATTAAAACACTGTGTTTATTTGAGTCCCACAGCAACCCTACACCTAACCCTTAATCTTGGTAGCAGCAAATGCGAATCTCAGGAGTTTCTTGGAACGAGGTTTACCATCTAGACCCAACCCACATTTTATGAGTTGTGAATCAAGGAAATGTCAAGGCTCTTGGCTCAGAACCAGCAGGTTTGCCACTGACTAACTGCTCCTGTGCTTCAGTGTGCGACTGGTAGGTTGTGTTTGTGC